CATCATCATCACCATCATCATCATCATCACCACCATCATCATCATCGTCGTTCTGGTTTGTTCAGACTCACCATCTTCGTCCACCTCGTCGATCATCTCCTGCAGCTCCTCTGGTGTAGGGTTCTGGCCCAGCATCCTCATCACCTTTCCTAGCTCCTTGGTGCTGATGCATCCGTCCTCAGCATCTTGCACAAAGATGTCGAAGGCGGCCTTGAACTCTGCCACACAACAACACCATCGTCTGTGGTTAGAACCAGGAGATGACACTTGGACAACAAGGGTCAGTGACCTGAGGCCTGGTCACTCTATGTCAAACTCGGAGCCCGTGGCCCAAATCAAGCCCACAAAGTCATTTCATGTGGACGAGCAGAGCTAAACATGCATATGGTATAGATCACTGGTATAGATCACTGGTATAGATCAGTGGTATAGATCACTGGTATAGATCAGTGGTATAGATCACTGGTTTAGTCACTGGTTTAGTCACTGGTCAACTCTGGTGTGTGTGTAACATGTACACGTAGTCATTTTCAACTGTAATAAAGTGTACCATTACATTTGCTTGATTATAATCTACATTTCCCATAATGCACGGCAACTGTGCGACCCACCACTGCGTCCTGTCAGTAACAGACTGGTCAATAAATGTTGGCGCCTTGAGTGATTGGACGAGTGTTATTAGCAGTGTGACGTAGCCTAGCAGAGATGTTGACGACGGTAGTCATGGAAACGTACAAACAAAGCCTCACCATTTTTCTGCTCGTCTGTCAGCTGCTCAACCTGTTGACAAAAAAAAACAAAAAAAAAACAGAAATTCAACAACAGACTTTTCAACTGCGTCACAGATTGACACATTTGGTCACTGATCTGGACCGCACCAGGACTTGGACGCCCACGCCCACAGACCGGGCCTTCCCTGAGAAAACACAGAGCCGAGATGTGGAAGCCGGTGAGAGGAGGAGTTAAAAATAGTGCGACAGGAGGATCAGGAAGCACAGATAAAGGACACAACACACATCGTTCTAAATTAGCATAGCTGTGGACGAGGACCAACAATGGAACAGTAATCCTGGAAAAGCTGCAACGAATGAGATCGGGAGACAAGTGCTTATGTCAGAGTTATCGTCTGTAAACCGCCATAAATTAGACGCACGCACGCACACACACGCACACACGCACACAGATCCATGAACATATGTTCCTCTGGTGATGATGTACGAAAAAAAACTAAGTGAATACTTGTGTGAGTATGTGTGTTTTTACTGTCTCTGTGGTATTAGAGCGACCAGCTGACACACACACACACACACACACACACACACACATCTCTGGCTTACAGATAATGCTGGAATTCATTCACTTAGGTGGGGTAGGGGTGATGGAGGAGGAGGGGTGATGGAGGGGGCTCCTATCAGCTCTGATAGGACTGAAGTGGGAAAAACATCTAGAGACAAATATGGAGGTGAGGATTTTTAGGACTGGTGATGGAGGTGATGGAGGTGATGGAGGTGATGGAGGTGATGGAGGTGATGGGCTGAGCCACAACAACAGGAATGTGTCACACCTTCAGTTCAGTTCAGATGAAAAAACAAACAGAAGTTTTTTTTTAGTTTTTTTTAGATCAACAAACTTCTCTCTGACGTCCAGTTCATGAAAACTGCAGCTAGTTAGTCGTTAGTTAAGGTTAGTGGTCGCTGATCTGAACCAACGCCATCATCACAGACATCACCTCACACACACACACACACACACACTCTTCTAACAACAGTTCCTGTGTTCCGTGTTTTCGGAGGACGTACCGCAGCCTTGTAGATGTCGTTCATGACGGAGGTTCGATTCCTGCCTGTCCTGACGGCTCCTGACACACACGGGGGGAGGTAGTGACCAGATCAGGGCAGGACACCGGCCTCATTCTGACTGGGTTTTATAGCCAGAGCCCCCCCGCCCGCCCTAGCCCGCCCCACCCTCGGTGGCCCCTCCCTGGGCGGCTCTGCTCCCCCTGTGTTTGTGTGTCCACCGCAGCGTCTGGACGTGTGTGTCATTTGGCCAATCTGTCACAATCACCGGGCTCAGATAAAAATGCTGCAGCTCTTTGGGGGCATACTTTGGACAGGAATGAAGTGGGGGGGGGTAGGACAGGAATGAAGGGGGGGGGGTTATATGTGGTGGTGGGGCCTAATCTCCAGGGCAGGGGCTATAGAGACACTCAACATTCCTGCAGACAGGGAGCAGAGACACCCAGGCTGGGCGGGGGGGTCGGGGGGTGAAGGTGGAGCGGCTGGCTTTGAGGAGGGGAGAGAACGAGAGCGTGTGTGTCAGAATGATAGAGAGAAAAGGGGGGAGAGAGAGAGAGAGAGAGAGAGAGAGAGAGAGAGAGAGAGAGAGAGAGAGAGAGGTGACAGTTGTAGCAGGAAAGTGTGTCAGCTTTAAAACTAACGAAGGCTCCAGTCCATTTAAGGTCTCTGTTTCAGCTGACCAGACCTGGACGACCACAGGACAACCCATGGTACACGGCCCACTACGACACCTCTAGTGGGCCGTGATCCTAATTTTTAACTACAATGAAAAAAAAACAAACCCTCCCCAGACTGGGATGGTTCCAGTTCCTCTGGTTTGAGTCACATGAACCAGAACTCTGCCACAGACCAGAGGTCCAGAAGATCATGAACCAGAGGTCCAAAAAGTATTTTATATGAATATTTTAAAAATCACCCAAAACACGCCTTACTATAGCCTTACCATCGTGAAAAAATCTAAAAAAAAAAGACTTTTTTTTCTAAAAAGTTTTTTTCTAAAAATTTCTTTCCTAAAAAACATTTTTTTTCAAAATTTTATCTAATTTTTCATCTTTTCTCAAAAAATATTTTTTGTTTCAGAAAAATTACAGATCATGAACCAGAGGTCCAGGAGATCATTCACATCCATTCTTAAGGCCACCATGACTGTCATTGACTCAGTGAAAATATCTTTAAAAAAATAAATCTCATCAAATTAGGGCACTTAGAGAACAGTTTAAAAAGTTTTTTTAAAAAACTGTCAAAATGTGAACAAAAATTCCCAAAAACAAAAATGTTGTGAAACGTGGATTGTTAAAATTGTATCTTTTCTTGCATGTTTCTCATTAAATTATGGTATTTACAGAACCTTTTTATAAAATTTTCTGTCAAAATCTGAACTTTCAAAATTAAACAAATAAATCTGTAGACCCCAACACTTTTTTTTTGCCTGTCACATCTCTTTCTAAATGACTCTCTTGACTACCTGCGAGACACACGGTTACGCAGCAGAGGGCGCTGTCTACTACACTTCGACCGGATGAAATTGTTGCAAGTCAGCCTCAGGATATTCAATTTATCAACAGTGAGGTTGGTGAGATATCTAGGTCAAACAAATCCAACTACTTCAAGACGCATTTCAATTTAATTGTGCACGCGGCAAGACTTTGAAGCGGAAAAAAAAAAATCTAAAAAACATTGGGGAACAGCGCTGTTTGAGATTCACACACACACACACGCGTAAACACAGAGTGGCGGGCTTCTAAATGACGAGTGATCATGCTGCTTTATAATGGGATGCTAATGTGGCCTGGCACAGCTTACAAGCATCATGTAGGCTCTCAGGAAGAGAGAGAGGGGGAGAGAGAGAGCTCCATTCAACAACATACAGAGCTCTCACCAGTCAGAATGTTGCTCCATGGAAATATACAGGTAGCTCATCACGGGTGTGCTGTTGTTAGGCAACATGAGCTGCTTTATAGACAAAGAATTTAGGTTTTAAAATGTTGCAGAACGGGACAAAGCAAAAAACATTTAGTGCAGCACTAACATCTTGAAACACAGTTAATGGACCATAAAACTCCCACAGGGTTTATATACAGCTTTACTTTATGTCAGAAATAAAAGATGACGTGCCAAGCTGATGGTTTTTGTTTTATTTTTTTAAGATTATGTTAAAAGTATGATTTCTGTAATGTTTTACCTAAATATCAGCGGAATTATTTATTACTTACTGTGTTAAGAAATACCAGCGCACGTTCTAAGCTCTGAGAGCCAGACGCAGTCTGAGCTACACTTGACTGCTGCTGCTGCTGCTGCTGCTGTTACTGCTGCTGCTGCTGTTACTGAATTTAAAATCACACTGATGAGTCTTCATGGTCAGACAGTCTGTTCACTTCAAGACTTTTTTTTTACATCATTATTGGAGCATGTAAACATATGCAGACCCCCCCGTCCGCCCGCCCCCCCACCTCTTCACACACATGCACACACACGTGTGGACGCACCGAGGTCTGTTTGGTCACTACCCATTTCCTCCAGCAGAGGAAGGCGGAGGAGAACGCCAGCCATCTCCCCCACACGGTGCAATCAGACGCCACATCTCAAATCCACAATTCACCGCACACCGCTTTTTGAGGGGTTGCCATAGAAACTCTGGTGGGTAGTAACGGACAGAGAATGAGAGGAGATGAAGGGGGGACTGTTCAACCCCACCCACCTCCGACATCGCCTCCCTGCCACCACATTTTGTCCTCACTGTGACTGTGTTATTTTCTCATCTTCTCCTCCCAGAGGCACACATGCACTCGTCTGAACTACACACACGCCGACACACACAGGAAGTCCTCATCAGCACTGCATATAGGTATATGTGTACGTCCATTCTTACAAAACGAGGCAGTGGCACTAACAATCTTCATCATCATCACCATCACCATCATCATCATCATCATCATCATCATCATCATCATCATCACAAGAAGGTAAGATGGGGTCACAGGTTGGACAATGGAGACAGTATTTCACACAGATTCAAAGGAGATTGAATTGTTCAAAGTAGGGGTGGAGCTAATACTCAGGATCGGTACCGGTCCGATAGCGGTTCAAATTTCAGGATCGATCAAATGCTCAACTTAACTTTGCGTAACATGTTCTGTAAACAAAACCTCAACGGCAGCCCGCGGTACGCTGCAGGAGAAAAGAAGGTATCGGATTGATAACGGTATCGGCAGTATCGGTGCTGGACATGGACATGGAACTGGAAGTGCATGGGTACAAAACGGGTCAAGATACTTCACATACTGGGTCCAAACACTGTGCTGATCCAACGAGTCAATACCACAAACGCTCTGCTCACTTTCTGACTGTGTTAACAATAAAAAAAGTCTGTGTTGGTGCCGTCCTCCAGAGGTCGGAGTCAGCCTGAAGGAACACTGAGAGGGCGTCTTCAAGCTCAACTTCTGGAGGACAGTTTGTCCTTTTCATGTGTTCTTGATCATGTACAAACACACACACACTAACATACCCATCCATCCATTTTCATCCTCTTATCCGTTACCAGGTCGCAGGGGCAGCAGTCTCCACCCACATCACATTGCACCGTACCAACCCCCCTGAACCTTCCTGCAGGTGGTGAGTCCAACCGAGATTTGAACTTGCCCAGGAGGTGAACCCTGGCTCCACAACAATGACAGAGACATTGCCTCTGGGCCAAAGCGCCACTTGAAAAAATTTCGAAAAAAAAAAATTTCGAAAAAAAAATTTCAAAAAAAAAAAATTTTCGAAAAAAAAATTTCGAAAAAAAAAATTTTTTTCAAAATTTTTTGGTTACATCCAAATTTCCTGTGTCACGTGGTCATAGGGTGAAAAATTTTCATGAAAATTTTTTTCAAAATTTTAGTTTTTCTGCACGTTTCTCATTAAATAAGAGCATTTTGAAAAAAAAAATTTGAAAATTTTTCTTTTCAAAATTTTTTGGTTACATCCAAATTTCCTGTAACGTGGTCATAGGGTGAAAAAATTTTATGAAACTTTTTGAAATTTTTTTTTTCCAAATTTTAGTTTTTATGCATGTTTATAATTAAATAAGAGCATTTTGAAAAATAAATTTTCAAAATTTTTTTTTTCAAAATTTTTTGGTTACATCCAAATTTCCTGTGTCACGTGGTCATAGGGTGAAAAATTTTCATGAA